TTTTAGCACGTAGCTATTTATTATTAGCATTGTTCTTCCGACGTCTGATTTCTCTTTAATTATAGGAAATGCGTTTTTCTAAGGTACATAAACTTTTGGGATTTACTGTATAGCCAATACATCCTTAACCATAATAACGACTGATCGAAGACACAATTAGTGAAACCAATACAAACGTCTTATTCGAAGTCATGAGGATCTGTATATAAGATTCAAACGTACTTTTTCATATCGGATCACGTCGACGGGAGAGTCGCACGGAATAGATTTCAGTGGCGAAGCCAAACGAAGCATGGAAAGTACAAGTGGTAAGAGTCTGTACGAAGGAAGGCGTCGAAGTAACACTCGTCTGACTCTCATGCCCTAATCTACTTAACATTTTTAACGACACTGTCCCACATACTAACGAGCGCTCCATCCGCCGTTAATTGCACGGCATCCAACACCCTTCTCGCATTCTTCGATAACTTATTCTCACGTGCATGATTCACGGACCTTGAACAACATTTCCAATTGTCGAATCGACCATCTCTTCGTTCGATCTCGTGCTTCGTCATTGAATGCACTGGCATGCGAGACATTTGAAATGATCATCGACATCGATGTCGTTCATCGAATCGACTGCACGTTTCGTCCTACAGAGGTGTTTTTCAAGAATCACGAGACTCGTTGCGTTCGCGATAAAAATATCAATCGCTCGATTCGTTTTAACCTCGGGGATCATGGTCGGTCGACGAAGGACGAAAGAGGAGTCGCAGGAGGTCTGAGAAAAACCACGCGGCTCATTGCCATTCCCACTGAACAAAAAGAAGGTCGGTCGGCGCAGGTTGAACAGCCGTTCGGCATGCAGATGTTGTATGCTGCTGCTGCTGTTGCTCGGTTCTCGTTTGGAAACTTTTCTCGTGCGCGCGAGCACACGTTGCACATTCGCGAAGAACTTCTCTTGCGGTAGTTTTACTGTACCGTAACGTGAGAATTTTATCGGCGCTAACCCGGCATCGCCACCAATCTCGTCGCCACGCACGCGTTGCGTCCAGGCCTGACTTCCACGATCGTGAAATTTGGTCCGATGCAGGTGCATTCGATCGCTGTTCGACTTGTTCGTTGTTCTGGGAATCGGAGACCGAAGGCTCTTCTCGAAGTTTCGAGATTTTACGTTGAACGTTCCAAGAAAATTCATATGACTGTTTATGAAGGAATCGCGCGTAAGACGTTCGACACGAAGTAGTCGCCAAGAACTGTTGTCTCGGTATTGTCCTGAGACATTTTTGCAAGGTAGCACGACCTTAAAATAATACAGAGTCGCGGGACAATTGAAGATATATGAGACGGCAGATGCATTGTGCCGAAGAACGTTAGCCAGGCCTGTTATAACGTTACCTCGCGCGCTCGCACACGCTCTTCGGATCGTTCTAACTAACTGTGAAACTTTTAAATACCGCAAGCCGAGGCGTAAATCACCATCGACCCAATTTTATTAATTGAACAGCAAATTTTTATGTAAAATAAAACTCGCAAGCGTACCGATTTAAACATTTCCTTTGAACTATTATCAGTTAGTAATTACACGTCCGAAGGGATAACAGAGAATAGACTGTCACTTTGTGGTCTATTTAAGCAAGGTTCCAGCGAACAGAAAAGGAAACTCACTGGTTCTCCTTGATCGATTTTCCCAATTCGATCACTACGATTAGCTTTTACAAACGTGTCGGTTTTATTTATAAAACAGTCTTGCCTTCCATTCTCGAGATGATGCACACTGTACATTACGTGAATTACAATATTTCTCAACTGTTGATGCTCTTCTTAATTAAATATTTAATCTCTGGACTCAAAAGCTCGCACGATACTGTATGAACCAGTTTGATCGAGCATTCTCTTGAGGAGACCAGAACGATTCTATCGAACATTCAAGACGGGAAGTCGATCACGGAGCCAAGGCATTCTAGGTATGGAATGTCTAGCGGAAGAACAACGAAAAGATCGATCACGAAGTCGATCGGCGTTCTAAGTTGGGCGTAGGCCGGGTAATTGATGCGTTCTCGACCTAAACCTACATACACCCGTTGTTAGTTAGTTAGCCAGCGCGCGCGGGTACTGTTCTCATATACTCGGCTGCGTCATAATTTACAGTTACTTCTTATACGGGCCATTACGAAAGGTTTCATCGTTCGCGGTTGCGGTGTTACTCGAACACCGATCGAGTCGAATGAATAAAACAACCGAGCACGTGCCATAGTTAGACACAGAGGGAACAAAGCAGGATTCTTTACTCCGATGAAGACAATGAATTCTTCGGAATCTCGCGTCCTATCGTAAGTGGGAAGAAACAGAAAAAAGGAAATTGTCGATACGATCTTATACGTGACAATAGGATTTTACAATTATCAACAACAATAATACGATGAATGACTTAATGTGAGATGTGATAATTGCACGGGATGTATATATGTAAAATTGTAGAAAGTATCAAACGTTTCGAGCACGACTACTCGGATGATGTTGTTTTACGATCAGAGGTTCGAAGAGAATATCTAACAGGTAGTTAAGCACTAAGATTAGCTCCCTTTACGGATGGAATAATTGGAAACAAGTGAAAGTGGGTGTAAAAATTGCATATTGCGAAGACGCAATCTCTTGACGATTTCAGAAATTACTTTTGTCGTTTCGACGTAAAATGCATCTGGTTATAAAAAAAGAAATGGGAAGAACGAATTGACATGAAAAAAAGATGAAGATCAATTGACGCGCGGAGATGAAAGGAGGAGGAGTCGTCGATGCCTTTATCGTGAATGAGAACGTGGAACGTTTGATTGATAACGATTCGTTCTACATATGCATCTCTCCTCTTCACAGTCGGTTAAAATTGCGGTATAGGCGCGATTACGTGTTGCCGGTTGCAGCCGGTGAGCGGAGGTTTACCTTCGAAAAGTCAAGTTCACGCATAAGTGCGTAAGTGGCAATCCGGTTGTCTGTTGCGGTTCGCAGAGAATTGCGAGAAACTGCGCTACCACCGATCGCTTGTTTATTTGCGATAAAACGGGATCGCATCAAACTAATCGTGACCAGTTGTTCCGTAGACGAATACCGTTTCATCGTTTCAAATTGAAAGAATGACGACGGTCATAAGCCACGTTTATGTTCGTTAGAGTAAGCGATTCGAAACGACCCAGTAAATTGGACGATCGTCGTGGAATTAACCGGAGCATCAAAGCGACGCAAGCTTGTATCTGATCTTCCGATTTTGCGTTAGACACCGTGGATTTTCGAAACTGTAAAGATCGAGTGGCCGCGACTCGGGGAACTTGTTCTTCCAGACCCGAGCGGAGCTTAACTTTCGGATTAAATGAAGCCGAGAAATCGAAAATCTTCGCGCTCCAGTTACCACCGGCACTCTGGTCACGGTGACGGCTAAATAACTTTTAAATATCGCTTCATTGCCTGTTCGGCTCCGTCGATTCGAAGTTTTTCTCTCGGTCAACTCTAGTCTATGCGAAGGAGATCGATTAGCGGTAATGTAAAACTACTTGACACGAGAGACGCTTCGAAAAATGTATACGATCATGGGCATTCGGAAAGATACATATAATTTAAATACCACGAAGATCATTAGACCTAGAGTTTGGACGTTCGTTTGCTCGCGTCAGACGATGATCTAACTGTACGTTTGATCCAACAAAAACCCGTTCGTCTGCCGAATGACTGACGCGAAATGAAATTCTCATCTCGAGCATGGCAACTGATAAATGTCCCTAACGAGCGCGATGTAACGATACCGGGCGATCAAATAAGAAAAAGATTGGCGTTCTTTCCGAGATCGCGCGGAAAAATTTAGCAACGGTAAAAGGCCCCGGATACGGAACGGAACCGTGCTTTCCACGAGGCACACTTTGCGTTAATGCCTCATCGATTGCCTCCGCTTTATAGCAGATTCATTTCTGTTCGCTGCGATAAATATTCTTCTCGCCATTCTGGGGTTAATTGATCATCGTCGATGATATCAGTCTCGTCGCCGCGAATATTTCAATGCCAGGAATGAAATCGTTTCAGGACTCGGCCGATCAACGATTAAAATCAATCGACAATTTCTTGTAAATATTTCTGTACGTTAATTCGAATTCTTTTACGAGTATGCGGAAGCACCTCTTCGTGTCGCATTTGGTTTCTCAAATTTATTCAGAGGATACTTGCACGAAACTGTTGACGTCAATTTTATATTAAAATTTCGTCGATGACTAATTTTGTTGTTTTAATATCGAATGGGGAAATTGGAGGTCCACGGAGGAAAGGTATTCGGTCGAGGAATGTGCGGCGCGAGATTGAGAAGGCCGTGGGCGTTGTTAGAGGAGGTAACAGGTTCAGAGTTAACGGTGCAATACCCCCACTATCCCCAAGTATTTCTTCTACTGTCGTCGGTCTCCTCGGTCAAGGACACCCGGAATTGGGTCACCCGAAATTTTTTCATTCGGACAACGCACGGCACGGACCTGTCGTTACGCTCTCCTTACACGCTTTTTATACCCGAAGACCTTTAAGATCGTCGCTTTCCTTTGCCAGAAGTACACAAAGGACGAAACATTGTCTCCGTTCCTCGACGAACCATTGACCGAGGAAAGTCTCACCGTTTCCCAAATTAATCGTAAAGACACGCTCGCGTTGGCTCCGTTCTCTAAACTCTCTTTTAAAATATTCAGACCACGAACGGTTTGTCGATTTGAATGAAAAAGCGGAATGGATATATTGTACGTTGTAGGAGACGTACGCTGATGAATGAATCACGAGCTGACAAAAGAATTCTTGGGATAGGCGCTGAAGGTAATGGGGAGGCAAATAAACGCTCGCGGATGTGGGTTTAAGAGAAAGTTCGACGTTCCAGGGAAACTCGCGCGCATTTCCGGTCACGCCTGTTAGTACGAAACGATTTACCAAGTTGTTTATGAGCTGCGAGAGCCCCGCAATCAATTTCTAAACACTCCGCTGTACAACTCGGTAATACGTACTGAGAGGTGCGCTACCTACAAAATTTATCTTTATCCATCAGGAAAGTACACCCGTTCCACACACACATGTACTCGTTTACCTGATAGACGTACCTACTGTCCGTCACCTAAATCAGGCGATTTGTTAATATATAATTAAGATATAATTTAAATCGAACTTACCACAGAACGGAACTCCTTCCGGAGTCCAGGAACCATCGGTCTGGCACTGTCTCCGGGCTGGACCGAGGAGTTCGAAGCCACGTTCGCAGGAGTAAGTGGCCACCGTGCCCTCGGGGAACGTGGTATCTTTCAATAGGGCGTCTTCCTCGTCTATGACGTCCTCGGTACCTGTTCCCGTGAAACGGACGCTGCTGTGCGCCGGTGCCCCGGGGTAACCGCACCCGGCACCATAGCATCCTGAAATCAAGACAAAAACTTTAGCTATTAATCTCTATTCCGTTCACTCATCGTTCTCGTCCTCCGTTCCATTCAAATTAGAATGCAAAGTTGTGTGGATAATTTTCGCTTGGTAAATTGGGTGCAATTCTTACTTCACAAATCGAGAGAGACTTTTCGTTGTCAAATGTGAAATTGGATCGAGGAAACGTTTCCCTTAACTGTTGCTTTGTAATTACCAGCGTATATGAAACGAACGATAATTTCGTAGGAAGACTCGAAGAGGAAATTCGATGGTTGATTCAATTTCGCTTCGCACGGTCGATTATCTAGCCTTGAAGGAACGCGCGATGTTCGCGCTTCAATCTCTCGGGACTAATTACACGAATAATGCAACGTTTTATTGCTCGCCTGGCAATCGGTGTTAGGTGCACGTTACGATCTAATGCAGGTACAATGTATACTCGCGTGCAACTCGCGTCATCACGCACGAGCTGCGTCGTAGACGTTGCGAAGCGGGACGTTGCCTCATCGGCAGTTAAAGTCTCTCGAGCCGGTGATTTCGATGCTTCGCCTCGAGAGACTCGCCTCCGCTCAACGCACGCGTCAACGATCGTTTTACTTCGTACATTTTTCACGATTCTGCTTCCTTCGTTTGGCTAATAAGAACATTTATACGAAATAGAGTGTGACAGTCGTTACTTGTATTTCTTCGATCAAACTTTTCGACCGGATTTTCATTTACGCATTTGTGCAAGCTACGGAGGTCCTTTCTTCTATCAACAGTAAGAATCAGGTGAGAATTATAATTTATTCAAGGCAGATACACAGATGCTTGGAACGTTATTTGATTACTTTCCTCGTTTCTTTTATACGGTTCATTACTTTGGAAGCAATCGTGTTTTCTGATGCAAATTCCATTCGCAACGTAAATTCAAATGAATTTTGACACGTTACACCTTCTCACATTTTGAGAAATAAGACCATCGTCGTTGGTGTACGTTATAACAGGTTGCAGACGATTTGATGACGGATCAGATTTTATCACGGACGCGTAGCCGTTGAATCAATAATCTTTGCTAACTACCGGTTGCCCCCGTGGGTGTAAGCGAGTAGATAAGCAGAGGAAAACGCCACGAGCCCGTAACGGAAACGATAATGCAAGCAGCACGCATCCTGCTATCGCGCAATCGTCTTGTAGGAAGTCATCGGCTGTGCCGATGCGTTACACGCGAGTACACCGCCGCTCATAATTGTCTAGACACTTTCGACTCGTCAGTCAGCTTCGATCATTTCATCGAAATCATGTTACGAAGCATAGAGCGATCGATCGAGTCGTCAGGAACGGTCGAAGCTTCCAGGAGTAAGCAAATTAAAAATTTTCCGAGGTATCGTCGAGTCGTGTCGAGAACTCCTTGTGGTCCGGGATCGAGGACACACCCACAGTGTCTCTTGCTCGTCGTAAGAGGCGATCAACAGGGGGCGTTAAAATTGTGTTGAGTAATTCGGAGATTTTCAAAGCAATCCTTGGTTCTACTAAAACTGCCCTGACCTGGCGTTTGCATCGTTTCTGTATTTTTATTTTCGTTCACGCCGACAGAGATAGTTGCATAAATGAGAGAACGAGGCGAAATTTCACCGGATTGTGCAACTTGTCCACTTTTCTCGTTGTTCACCCTCTTTCCCTTTTCGTTCCCTGTCATCGCTGCTCGGTCATCGAATCTCGAGTCGCTTTCTACCGCGATTTGCATTCGACACACGAATTCCCGCCTCCTCTTTGGCAAGGTACCTCGACAGAAGTCGCAATTTACTCGGCATGTGCACTGCCGTGAGTCTGAATCCGATTAAGAACGCAACACGAACGTATGGACGGAAGAACAGTCGAATACGAGACTCGCATACCTAATCGAGTGTAAGAAAACGGGTGATACGAGGTTTGTTCTACGAGTTCGCCGATTAGATAAGGAAGACTGAAATGCGCGAGTCGTGTCACCGCTTCCTCGAGGATTCCTTGAAAGTGGTTTCCGAGGCGAATCGCAGTTCGGTATTTAGGTTTGTCGCGGGACGTCGATTATCGAAGGCACAAGGGACGAGACTCGCCGGAGATTTATAGGTAACGGCTTCTGGCGAGTGCCAGTAATGTAATCGGCATTAACTGTAAAGGTGTCACCTCGGGAATTTGTTTGCCAGACAATGGCCAACGGCACGCGTTAACAATGCCAATTTTTCAGACACGTTCGAGTCAAGAACGGAACGCAACTTTTCTTCGTTGCCAGAAAGCTGTTGGACGAGTTCGTCGACGTTTCGTTCGACCGTGACTCTTCGATTCGTGGACACCGTAACAAAATTCTTTAGCCACTAAACGGTTACGAATTTAGAAACGATCGGCGTGTAACGGTACATGCCGTACGATTTACATGTTCGTCTCGAGTAAAGTGTCGGTGTCGGAACGTTTAAAACGTTTTCCGTCGGCGGAACGTAGAAAACAAAGAAGACAAAAGTGAAATCGTAACTGGAAAACGAAGGATCGAGTGACGCAACCGGTGTTTGCTAATGTTCGGGATATTATAGCTCGTGGGCAACGATGTCAACGTTTTCGATTTGCCGCCTACACCTGAAAAGTTCTTTCGTCGAGGAATAAATGTTCTAATCCCGACTCATACCTCTGTGCAAGTTCTTCGCGTTCTCCATCGGGAATCGAATCATATATTAATTTTATTCGGAGTACACAATTTTGGTTCTTCCATTTCCATTCTCGACATCGAATCTAAACATTTTTAGCATGCACGAGAGGAAACAGGCGACCCGATTTCGCCGGCTCACGCTAGCGAAGATCATCGGACGGCTCGCGGTCATTTTTTTCCAGAAACGTTGGCTCGCTTACGCTGACATGACGGTTCGTTGCATCCGGTTAATGTAGGTTGCTGCCTCGCATCATCGTAATTATTGTTAAGCCGCAAACCGGGGCAGAACCTGAACTTAACTCTGAACCGTCCACGAAACCGCACTCTATTATACTTGTGCCGATATCTGTTTTAAGACCGTCCCGATTCTATACCGGAAATACCGCTGCGTGATTCAAATATTAATTGCGAATGCCAACGAACCCATTCTGCTACCCGAATAAACGATGAGCCTTTCCTTCATCGACTGACTGAATCATAAAATGTTACTGGACGATCAATACGCGTCCGCACCGTACGAATTATACATATTATATTATATTATAAATATAGATATAATTTGAATTTAACATGAAATCGCCTGTTGCTCGGTTAACGTGTACGCAGAGAGCGTACGCAACTGAATCTTGTAAACCGTGATTATAACAAACTGGTACACGGAGCAAATATAAGAAAAGGAAAAAGCGAATCATTTCACGAGAGCAATGTTAATTGACCGCCGAAGATGGCAAAAGCAGCTCGAATGGGAATCTAAATTGCAGCTCGCAACGCTGTGGCATGATGAAAGTTGGCACAATTATGCGTGAAGGATACTCGTTGCATTTTCGAATCATCTCTTTCACGACAGAGCTCTAATCAGGTTTCGATAACGATTTAGAAAGTTCAGCCTTGTTCCTCGTAGACGTTGCAACACTGTTACAAGAGGATTCGATGATAAAAGTAAAATTACAGTAAAGGCATAAGAGAACGAAACCGTCTGATCTAATTATTTTTTATCCAGAATTGGAAAATTGAATTGAACATTGGGATCATTTCTCTAGTACGTCGAAAGTAATTTGATTTTTTTCTACGCTTCGTTCGTGTGAGTCGGCGTAGAGTCGAAAAAGAATGACTGGTTACGGGAAGTTTACTTATGTTTCACGTGCACGCAACGCACGTTATAATGTGGGTCAGTAGAGTGGACACAGCGAGTTACAATTGCATGGAAAGGGTAAAAGTTATTCCGGTGCGAATATCAGGTCACCGCTATTTCAACCGTTATCTCTCGGCGATGCGATCATGCTTTATCATAGTGATCGTCATTCGATTATCCAACGAGTATAAGTGCCGTACCGTTGTGCAATGTTTTACGTTCGAATCGGAAACTCGGCTTTGAAAATCTCTCGAATCGACGTAAAGTGCAATTATGCAATTTTCCTGAAAGCAATTCTGTATCGTTTCGATATGTATACAGTACGAGCGTCTAACGTGAGACTTGTCTAAATTTCAATGATTCAAGTAAAGATAATTTCCTTCCTATCCCTCATAAACTGGTCAGACCGGTTCATTTAACATTCACCTGATTCTGACACGCGAAACCTGTTTGACAGACGAGTGGGAATCCAATTAGCTAACCCTAGGGGGTGTAACCAATAATTCTTATCAAATCTTGAATAAATCCTTTTCAAAGTCTACTGGAGAGCCATCGGACACTGTTATAATTACAACGTGAAGAAAAGATCAAGTTGAAACTTATTTCGATACCGACCTACTGACCAGCGTAAAAATCGCAAGGAGAAGAGATCGGGAAACCTGGTAGGGCATGTGAAATGATCGAAAGCGTGTTACATATTATGTGTACCCAAGCAATTAGACGGTGTACAAGATAAATCAGTTAAAATGATTCACTGTTTAATTATTACGTGTTTCATTGTGAAGCCTGAAATTATAATTCGTCAAACTACATTCGTTTAATAATAAATTGATACCTAACTAATTTCGATAAAATCATTGGAAAACTGTTGCACGTGATATTTCTAATTTGATCACCCAGTATACAGTCGGTTTCTACCTTGAAAACAAAAGGTCGACTGGTTTTAATTAGGCTTTGAACTTCCCACGGTTCCGTGAAGTAACGGGGGGACAGGGAGAGAGAGAGAGAGAAACTGATAGGAAGGAAGAAAGGCGGGAGTGCGACCTTCCTCTCTTCTCACCTACTTTTGCCTCGATTATCCACTTTTCGTCGTCTTCGTGGGCGAGCCGAAAACCACGTGTCGCGGAAACGTCCGTTACCGGCACGACGTTTCTCTTCTCCACGTTGACGTTTGAAATGATAAATAATATTGGATAGAATTGTTCGGGCTGGCGACGAATCGAAGAACGATCCAACAGACACTTCCTTATCCGTCTTAAGAACATGTCACGCGTACCTGGATTTTAGTAAAACGACCGCTTTCACTTTGATCGCAAGATTTAATTACACCTGCGGACGATAGCAGGCTATCGGGACGCGATAAGAGGCTATTGTCTCGTAGGACATAAGAATTCAATGGATGTGCGAATGGTTCGATCGACCGGTGCGAAGGAAGATGGTGTAAAAGACAAAGAAATGAAGGGGTTGATACTGACACAGCTGAGTAGCGATCGGAACGGAAGAGTGTAATTAGTTGGGAACACGTTGACGGCACGCTCAGGAAGTACTCTGTTGGAAACTGCGTAACAGAGAAAAGTACGTGGGAAACGACATTATGAGAAAGCTCCAAACATTTTTTTACCCCGTCGCCAATCGCTTTTCGCAGACAATGCATATTTAATCGCGAGATCTACGACAGATTCTCTAATGACACGTGATCAACACGCCTCGCGATAGATCCGATCGTGCGTGCCTGTTTCCCCTCAATTTCTCCGTTCGCGATTCTTCAATTGGTATTAAGTGGTACAAAAGCGGTGGAATGTTTTTATTTTACGAACGACGAGGACGAGCGATAAAGAAGAACAGAGACGAAACGCACGAATTTCGTAATTAAATATTTTCAGAATTAACTGGATTTAACGCGCTCAGAAAAATTGATGAAAAACAAATCTGGCTGACGCCAGGTCGATAAAACGGTGTTTTATTTACAAAAGCGAGTCTGGTTTTGTTTGTTAATTACGAAAAATGCTGGTTTTTTAATATCTCTGGTAGAATCGTATATTACACGCGGATTATGCGATATTTTTCCGCGACTACTTATATTGTATTCTCGGCAGATAGTTATCTCCCTTTGTACTCGAGGCTCTCATAGATTTCTTACATCCTTAATTAGTCAACTCTTTACCCTAAAGAGGATACCGTCTTTAAGATAGGTAAACGAAAGCCTTAATAAATCCGCTTTCATAACTCTGTTAAACCTGAACTTTACACAACCTTCTTCTGTAACGATTAGAAAATCAGTAATAAATAATTAGCTACGATTTCGTTGTTCAACGAATTGGTCGATGAACATCGTCGATAATTCTTGGCGCTAACAGAAATTGTTTCAAACAATAGGACGAGCCTTGATCGATCACGCTGAGAATCTCCGAATGATCGATGAATTTTACGATCAATAGTTCTTGTGAGACGAACAAGAATTTTTTTAAGTAAAAGGACGAACCTTGGGCAGCCAGGCCGAGGATTAACAGAAACACAGTTGTCTTCTCCATATTCTTTTTAACCGATCTCTTCAACTTCGATCTCGAACGATCAGCGATACCGATCCAGTAGAGAAGAGGGTTAAATCCACTGGTCCCTGTCTCGTGGATCACCGAATCCTTACCGCGAGGGCAACGTCATTTCGCGATCGTCTCCGAAGAACCGATTGATGGAAGCACGAGTCTCTATTCCTGTCGTCCGAGCAATGGCAGGTGACTGTGCGTAACGTACACGGGACTCGACCGGCGTGAAACGATCTTTCCTGAAGACTGAGGTGCTCACTCCCTGCCAGGAAGTCGTCCAGGTGTTCTCGTCCCCCACCTGGCTACTCTTCTCTACCACCTCTTCGTCCAGGTAGGCTAGAGATGGGATCAAGTTCGATGCAACCTGAATCCAGAACAACGATCATGAGAATCGCACCTTCGACGTGTTGACCGACGTCCCAAAGAACAGGAAACTGATGTAGAGTACAACGTGTGAAAAATTCACGTTTTCAGCAAGCAAACGAAATTACGACTAGACGAAGCTGACTCTCACGATCGTTCTTATCGATTCGTTCGATGCATTTTGAAATTGGGATCACCAGGTGCAAATAACGATTGTCTGCACAGGTTGAATAAAATGTCGTATGATGCTTTTTTTGTATCAGCATTTTTCTCATTGCCTCTGACTGGTGAACTCGTGAGGTGCTCGGTTCCATCGCTGACGAAGACCGACGTGCCGGTTGCCATCGAGAACGAGGCTGACTCGTGCGAGTGACTGACTGTTCGTCCTCCGTACTTACTCCTCCGGTATTCAGGCCAACTTTTGACGCGAGGACGACGTCGCCGGGACGACAGGACTCGCCTAGAGCGGAGAGCCGTGACGAAAATCCGATTCGTACACGTTGAATCGTCGACGGAACGTCCAGAATCGACGACGGTAACTTCAGTACTCTTCGCCTCTACAGTTTTTTTCTTCATTTGCCTCGTCAAGATTCTTCGATCGTTGCGAGAATTTTTTTATCCAAAGCATCGGAACAGATTTTAACGAACGTCCTTATCGAAGTTGGCAAACAAAAAGCATTTGCATGAACTTTCGTTAATTTTCTTTTCCTGTTTCTTTTCCAAGATCGTGAGATCGAGGATATAATTCATAATTAAATCTGTCTATTAAACACATTCGCGATGTAAATGCATCGAGCAAATCTATTTTGCATCACGGTGGCTCGGGCATGCGAAACACTTTCACGCTGACTATTAAATTTCACGGTTGCCTCGATCAGCACGTTCTTCGGTGATCGCGTATCTCTCGTTGCCGCGGCTAGAAACAATAATTAAACGCGAAACGAGGAAGCGGGTTTAGGTTTTAGACAGTTTAGGGTGTCGCGGTTCGCTGACCGGGCTGACGTGCTACGCTTCTTCCTGTTTAAGCTCACTGCTTACGAATGCGAGAAGTTCAGACGAACTGAAGTATGAACGTCTCCTTTCATCTAATATTTTCAGTTAAAACGTGCATAATGTCCATTCATCAATCTGTTGATCGTCGATTGCGATCTCTACAGTAGTTCTTTTTAACGAAATACATTCGCTGTACTCGATGATAAAGTTCATGAAGTTTAAAAAGTTGCATCGAAAAGAATTGGTCGCAGGTTCGCTGAAGTATCGTAGATTCGGGATTACATTTTCCCGTGAACGTACACGTACGTACGTGGCAGCGTGGTCGCGGGTTACGTCTGTATGGGGGTCGTGGTATGTGGGTCAGGAAGCCGATGTTACTAACGAGTGACTCGACGACGACACCGCTAGCTTTCGTCGCACCGAATTTCCGCCGCTACCAAATCTGGTCCCCTGCCTATACGTACAATCGGCGATCTCGGTTTGCCGCAATGCTGAAAGTGCCCTAAAAAGACAGTGAGTCACCTAGCGAACGCCGCGCGCTGCCTGTCCCTTATGAATTTTTCACTCGCGTGCAGAATTTATATTAACTCTTACGAATACTCCGGTCTTGCTTGCGGTTTTGCGGGATACATAAACGTTGAAATTACCGTGAAACATTAATAGCACAAGAAGTGCGATACTCGAATGTCGTTACGAACGAAGAGACACTTGGTTCGATTAAACGTATGACTCGCTGGATTTTATTAGATCTCGAAGATTTCGGTTACGAACTATCTGAAACTCGTACACGGCACGCACGTGCATTACGTTTCTAATTGAATATCCAATGCGCGACCTCTTCTCGAACGACTGACACAGAATGCACCAGGAAAAGCGTCGCGGGAACACGGTTAATACTTTTTTGACAAACGACGCAGAAAGTTCGTCGATATTGAAACGTCGACAATGAACCCGGTCGTACGACGCGTAACTAGCTATCATCTTTAATTCACGATCGATAACACTTGCGAATTAATAGAATCGAGTTCGCACGGGAATTATTTATTCTACGTTCAAATAATAAATTGCACGTTCGTTTGCTTGAATAAAATGTGAAAGAGGAACGAGTTAATTCGCAAGAAGAAAGTCTTTCGAGTAGACGTTTGATTACGCAAATCTGCATGAGTGTTACGAAGAGTTTAACGTTCGAGGATGATCGCTGGTCAAAAGAGAGAGATGATCATGTTGATTCGACAAAAAATCACGGAAATCAACGTCATAATTTCTGACGAGATGTTTCTCTTCTGCCTACGAATTCCAGAGATCGATGAATAAGAAGGTTCCTACGTAAAAGTAGGGTCATCGACCGAATAAAACGTCTAATCTGACCGAATCAAGTTTCTCCGTTAGCCGTTGACTGTACACATATCGATTACGTTCCTTCCGTGCATATGAATTCGACGATTTTTGGGTCGTTGAACGAACATCTTGCTCGCCCTTCCACTTTTTAATTATTTTACCAATGAACAGAATCTCTCCGCATACGTTGATCAATTTCATTATGAGTACTCGTACGTTTCAGTCGATTAACGAACATCGACATTATAAGTGATTTTAATTATTAGATTCGCGTCACGTAGAGACATTGTATAAGGTGTTCTAATCGCCGTGCGAGTCACGCGAGGCGCGTAAGAAGCCACGCTTGATAGAATGGTTAATACGTAGGATGAATTTTCTATTTTCTTCCTCGGAAGGAAAAATCGCGGGGGCACATTATTGTTTACTGTACGTGCAACGCATTCCCATAAAACAGTTTGTGTTGTTCGCGGCATAATCGTGACCCCGATTTAACCATCTGCGAATTCCTCGAGGCGAAGTCGCGATGTTCGTGGAGAGTCAAAAGAGTAAGATCCTAGATACTCGTACCTCTGCGTGTACGCAGGTATCTATCTGTACGTACACGTTTATATACGCGCGTATCGTGTATGCACGTGAACGTATTTTATACATATTGTTCAACGTTCGCATAAGCAACGGGTTATTTTCTCACAATTTCTACCGTCCCCTGGCCATTATCTGTCGCCGTTGTGCAACTTCTTTGATTAATTAATTGCCTGATTAATTAGCGCTTAATTGTTCTAACCGTCCGAATTTCGTAAAGCTGGCTTTTGTGAAATATTTCGCGGCGTACGCGTGCCTAATAAGCGTATTTAAACGATACTGAGGAATCGTTTGATTCTAGAGAGATAAATAATTTTGATTTGAAACGAAGAACGTCGACGTGTTTCGTGCGTAAACGTGCATTTTGGTTTTCATTTCTCTTTAGGAAATGTAATTGGGGATAAGGTGAAAAATGTATTCGGCGCGCAGAACGACAAAGTAGCGAAAGGTCAAATTTCTATTATACAGCATGCTTTCTCTCATTATTTAGTTGGAGAACGCGTATTTAGCGGGATCACTAAAAATCCTCGTTTAAGAGCAAAACTGCCGTTTCGACCCTATTAGCGAAGAACTAGATTTTTATTATAATTAAGGTACCTAGTTGAGAAACTCGTTCTCCGTTCGCCGTAAAGAGACTTTCGCTTATTATTTTTCGTAAAATTATTTTCGACTCGTTTTGTCATTGTCTCAGTGGTTGTATCGGTGTACGTACTTTTACTCGAACGCGTGTTCGTAAACATTTTGAGATACCCGGACAGCCGATTTGTAAATTGACACGGAAAAATACTGCGTTTGTACGAAGCCTTGAACGGACTTCACAGTTTCATTAATATTGCTTTGACATTAAATCTTGTTTGTCCCAATTGTAACGCACACGACTTTCATTTTTTAATTACGCAATGCAGTTTCTACGCGTGTGCGTAACGTCGTGCAAGATTTTCATTGCTCCTGAACTTTCTTCGCGTCCTGCAACGGATAACAGTAACTATGACATACCGTTCATACCCGTGCGCTCATTCCTATTATTTCCCATATTGACATCCCGTTTTTCCTACCCATTAGGTTTACTCACGATTAGACGTTACAGCGTTCTCGTATCAATTATTCAGTTCCCCACAGAACTCCCGATGCATGTCATTTTTAATAATCGTTATATCCTCTCGATATCTTGCTTCCCAGATTAATTTCTATTTTGTACCAATAACAAATACCAGGTAAAAAGAAATGAACGGTACCTACAAAGCCTTTGGAACAATTATTCTATCAGTGGATTGGAAATAAACAGAGGATACTACAATATGAAATTGTATCGTCATGCGGTCGTAAAGGAATGCTTTCACGCTTCCTCAATTCTAAATAATTTTTTCTTCGATGTAATTGAAAGTTACGATTTCTATTTGATCTCTTCCTTGTTCCTTTCTGCACTCGTTTCATCGATGACAAACCCGTTGAACCTTATCGATCAACTGCTCCGGCTTTTTACTTTCTCTCGATATCTGTCCCTGCCCTCGAACTTTCTAGCCTGATCCGTGACGCGTTCGATGACTTCTATATACCAACCGAGTTTATTCAGTGTCGTGCGTAGCTCTTTTTCGACGAACAATGTTCTGAGAATCTAGATTGGAAATGATCAAGAAGAAAGGTAATCGACAGATTTCCTTGTGCCCTAATTTACATGCGCATAGTTTTCGCTCTCTTTAGAAGCGATAGATCACACTGTGGCACTATCGGAGCGTGAAAATTGCGTCTCGTTTGAAAAGACTGAAGTCAAGCCCGGGAAAACGAGGTCGGACTAGATCAACCGGCTCTTAAGGCTAACATCTCGCTTTACTTCGTCGGAGAAAGCTGTAGCCAGAGAGGAAATGACAGTGTTGGGGAGTTCGTGATTCCTGCACAAGGGAGGTTGTACTTTACGTTGGACGTTTTGTATTACTTTGCGTATTACGTGCATGGCTCAGCGCTCTCTATTGTAGTCACCCCCCT